GTTGGTTATTGGTTTGCAGGTAAAGTGGGTTATATCAATAAGCTGATTTTTGTTAGTTATAATGGAAAGCTTTAATACCTAAACAAGGACAGGGTAAATACATTTAAATTAAAAACAGAAAACTTTTTACAAGTTTTGGTCGTTTATTTACACGATAACGGTGTTTTGGGGACCTGAAAACGCAAACTTTAGAAAACGGGTTTCAAAGTGCAAGTTTTTGAAATCGATACCGTTATCGTCTCTTTGTAAACTACAAAAACGTGAATTTGTGTAAACGGTGTGAAATCAGTCTTGTGACATCGCTATCTACTCACCTGGCAGCATAATACATCGTTTTTAGTCGTTTTCATGGATCCGTGTTACAAGGAAAAACGTTTCTGTTTTTGTTACATCGCTGTCGTGTAAAAACCCTCAGAAATGTTTTGCATTCACTAGACTGCATGCATTGTAGCAGTGTAACATGCACAAAGCTCTTGAATGTGAAATGCTCCTAATTTCTACTTCAGAAGTGGGAAGTAAGACCTTGCACTGCATAATATTCAGTATAATGCTGCCATTGACACCACAACCTGTGCTGTGTGCTGCAAACGGAAAGAAAAAGGGCTCAATTTTCTCAATTCACCTCCTATTGGCGAGTGTGGCACAAAATGTTTTTTGGACCCTAAGTGAAACGAAAGCAATCCTGTTATTGGGATGTAGAATTTTTTTTATTTTTTATTTTTTGAGATCTGCGTAGGCGTGCAGGGTTTTATTGTGCATCGCTCCTGTACGGCTCGTCTCCTAAGTGAGCGATAGGTCCCCATTAGCGCCGATGTTTACTTCTCGACGTGACTGTGGCCCGTCTCACCCGCTGCTTCCTGTTGCCACGCACCCCCCCTGTGTGCCGTCGCCGTGACAACTCCATACAGGAGAGTCTTTCATCACCACTGCCACTGCGATGTCGCCACGGGCAACCACACAACTCACCTGCTGTACCCGTCTCTCTGTACGTCTTCATTTTTCCCTCACTGTACAGCTTTAGCTCGCTCCTCCCCTTTTTTTCCTTGCCAATAATTGTAATCTAATGTTGTATAATATTTTTTTCTATTTGCAAGTTAGGTTGAATGTTCATTGTTTTTATTCGTAATTGTTTATTTGTGTTTTTCTGTTGTTATAATTGGGTTTTGTTAAGTTTTAATTAAGTAATTGTACATTGAAAACGGGTGTTTATAATTACTGAGGAAAATGTGGTGTTTGCCACAGTGCTAGGTGGTTTCCAGGGTGTTGCTATGCATTCGTTCATTTGGCTCCAGGGTGTTGCTATGCATTTGTTTATGTGGTTCACAGGGTGTTTACATTTACGTTTATTCATTGAGCTGACGCTTTTGTCCAAATCGACTTACAATTGCTATATACTGTATGTCCAACAAGGGGTTAAGTGTTTTGCTCAGGGACACATTGGTGTCTCGCAGTGGATTCGAACCCGGGTCTCTCACACCAAAGGCATGTGTCTTATCCCGTTGCTATACCGTAGATTCGTTCATTTGGTTTCTAGGGTGTTGCTATTTGTGCATGTGTTTGAGGTGGTTCCCAGGGTGTTGCTATGCATTTGTGCTATGCATTTGTGCTGGTTCCCAGGATGTTGCTATGCATTTGTTTGAGGTGGCTCTCAGGGTGTTGCTATGCATGTGTGCATGTGTTTGAGGTGGTTCCCAGGGTGTTGCTATGCATTTGTTCATGTGGTTCCCAGGGTGACTTTATGCATTTGTTAATGTGGGTTGTTGCTCTACATTTATTTATGTATTTGAGGTGGTTCCCATGGTGTTGCTATGCATTTGTTCATGTGTTTGAGGTGGTTTCCAGGGTGGTCTATGTACTGTAGTTAATTCCATGTTGCTATATGGTTGCTATTTTTTCTGGATCTTTGCTAAAGTGTTTGGGATGGTTGATTATGTAGTCACTAGGATGTTCTGTGATGTTGCTAGAACATCACTATGTGGTTGCTAGGGGCATTTTGGTGGTTGTCACATGGTTGATATGGTGTTTTTAGTGTTTTATAGTACATTACTACATTTGTTCAGGTGCTTTGACTGTGGTTAAGTGGTTCATAGCGCATTGCTCTGTGGTTGCTAGTGTGTTCTGGATGGTTGCTAGGGCATCGCTAGGGCGTTTTGGCTTGTTGCAATTGGTTTAAAATGTTTTATAATGCATTGCTATGTGATTTCCAAGAGATTCTATGTGGTTGCTAGGGTTGCTAGATGTGTTCTGATGGGTTGCTAGGGCATCACTAGGGTGCTTTGGGGGGTTGCAATGGGATTGCTGTGTGATTACTAGTGTGTATTGACTGGTTGCTGGGGCATAAATCCCATCACTTAGTAAATTCACAGCACACCTCGCCTCAACCAGCTACATGATTCATGCCTGGAACAAAAATGGTGCTGGATGAGTTTTGCACTGAAGTTTAATACTTCTATTTCTCTCTTTCTGTCATTCAGTCTCTCTGCTTGTTTGCCCGGTTTAATATACCGTGTTCCTGGTCCATGGCCCGTCGGCTTTGATTTTGAGGAGGTGCTGTGATTTCCTGTCGTCGAGGGGAGAGTCACGTACAGGATGCCTAATGCTGTCGTGATCTGATCAGCTTTCATTCTCACCCATATCAGATTAAAGATTTTAAAGCTGCTCCGCACAAAACATCTTATTAGATGTGTAAGACTGTCTTTCTCTCTTGTCGTCTTCACACGCTCGTCTTCCTCCTCACATCAGACACTAAACAAATGCAAATGTGCACGTTTGGGCCTTTCTGTGCATCACAGCACACGCTTCGTATTCATGAAAGACACAATGAATTTGTGCCTCTGTACTCGGGGAAAAAGGCATCTATCGAATTAAAAAACATCCATCTTTAAGCGAGAACCGTAATGAAGAGAAAATGCTATGATGAGAGAAAAGTTTTGATGGAAATTAAGGAGCGAAAAGTGCACTCAGAGATGGAGCGATGCAACAAAGCAGGGTTAAATAGATGTTATACAGACCTCATCTGACCTGAGTGCTCAGAGGTTTATGTGTTAAACTCGCAATTTCACAATGTCAACTTTGTTTCTCTTAAAATTCCTTTGGAAAAATGGAGAGAAAATGGATGAATCAGTATGGTTGCATGATTAATCTAAACAAACTGAAATCATGATTTGGCTTAATGGGATTATTGTATGGCAAGGCTGTGATGAAAATTAAAAAATGAAAATTCTGTCTTAATGAAAATGAATTTACTCACCCTCATGTCATTCCAAACCTGCAAGACTTTCTTTCATCTTTGAAACACAAATGAAGATGAAATCTGAGAGCTTTCTGTCCCTCCATTGACAGCTATACGGCTACGTAAAGAGTATGTGTATTTCATTAATATCAACTTATAATTATTGTATTCCAGTGGCCAAAAAAACTTTTGCTGATAATTTACTCACCCCCATGTCATCCAAGATGTCCATGTCTTTCTTTCTTCAGTCGAAAAGAAATTAAGGTTTTTGATGAAAACATTCCAGCATTTTTCTCCATATAATGGACTTCAATGGGGTCCAAACGGTTCAAGGTCCAAATGAGAGTTTCGGTGCAGCTTTAAAGGCCTTTAAACGACACCAGACGATGAATAAGGGTCTTATCTAGGACCCTTCGAGTCATGACTCGAAAAAAGATTTGTTCATTTTGATGAACGAGTTCGAACAGGAGAGTCACCAACGCGCATCACAGAACAGAGCAAGGCGACCATTTGTGCATAAAACGTAAACTTTTTTTAATTTATTTTTTAAATGAGCGATCGTTTCGCTTGATAAGACCCTTATTCATCGTCTGGTGTCATTTAAAGCCCTTTGAAGCTGCAGTGAAACTCTCATTTGGACCTTGAACCGTTTGGACCCCATTGAAGTCCATTATATGGAGAAAATCCTGGAATGTTTTCATCAAAAACCTTAATTTCTTTTCGACTGAGGAAAGAAAGACGTGGACATCTTGGATGACATGGGGGTGAGTAAATTATCAGCAAAAGTCTTTTTTTTAAAAGTGAACTACTCCTTTAATAGATCTTTCCAAGGGTGTACAAATCAACTATGATTTTGCGAAAATCAACTATGAGAAATGTTTGAGTTCATATTGAGATCTCTGAAACTCCTTCAGAAGCAGGAGACTCATGCAAAGGTCTCACATTAGAGCCAGACCGATATATTGGCCGGCCGATATTAGGCATTTTCCATAATATCGGTATCGGCAGATATAATGGCCGATAAATGAATATTTAAAAAATAAAATAAAAACAGACGAAACACACTTCAATCATCTCTCCTTGGCCTGTTATATCGAAAATGTATGTTTTACAATTTGCAGTATGTTATCTATTGCTAAATTATGGCTCATCATAGACTAGCTAACCACAAAGCTAGCTAATACCACTATCATCAGTGGAAGACCGCTAACGTTAACATTAATGAGCTTGGAAACCATAATGAACTTTTTCTGCCTAAATAAAGTAATTATTACTGTTTTTATAGCTAGCATATCTCTAGTTACAGTCCCTGCATTGTAAAATGTAAGTTATACTTGCGAAGAGTGAACATTTAGACAAAGAGAAAAAATATCAAACGTATCTTGTGCAGAAAAGTTAGCTTTTCTTTTGGACGTGTGTGAAATCCAACAATATTTAATAAAAAAAAAAATATCGGCCGATATATCGGAATATCGGATTTTAAAACCCCCAAATATTTGTATCGGTATCGGCCTTCAAAATCCTTTATCGGTCGGTCTCTATCTCACATGCACCAGCAGATGCACTGAAGTGATGATACGAGCCTGGCGCTGAAATGACTCATGTGAGTCTCTCGCGCCCCATGGGCTTCTGGGAGTTGACGTCTCTGAGCTTCAGTGTCTCTGACAGCTGTGAATCCATGAGCGAGACGGCGCGCTCCTCTGGCTGTCTCTGTCCTACACCTCCACATTAACCTTTCTTTCTTCCTCTCTCTCTTTCTCTCCCGCAGATGACACGGCCTATTCAGGTGAAGCCAGCTGACAGCGAGAGTCGAGGAGGTAAAGGGATTTCATTTCTACCTCACTTTATTGCTCCACACTCTTTTATTTTCTCTTTCTCTCGCACTCGCTTTCTCTTTCGGTCGTTGTGTGCTTTGATATTAGCTTTGACTGGAAGTGTTCTCACTCTGCACGCGGGTCTGTGCTTTATTAGATTTATTTCATTGTTGGTTTTTTTGACGGTCGCAGGACAGGATTTAGGAAACGTTTATGGGTTGAATTTGAGTTTGAAGTTTTATTGTAAGTAAATGTACTGGGGCTGTGCAAAAATTAATTGCGATTAATTGCATCCAAAATAAAAGTCTGTGTTTACATACTATATTTTTTGTGTGCTGTGTTTAATTATTTTGTATATATAAATACACACACATGCATGTATATATTTAAGAATTATTTGCGCTTAAATTCTGTATATATATATAAATACAAAATCTATATTATATAAATATAATTATTTTATATATGAATAACACATTTTCTTAAATTTATTTTTTTCCTTGTGTGTCCCCACAAGGATGGTAATACCAAAAATCTCTGTCGTTTGTGGATATTGTATTGTCCCCATGAGGAAAATGTAAAAATGCAGAAATTTAAGGTTAGGGGATAGAATATACATGACTATAAATACAAATATATTTGCTAAAAAAAAAAAATTAAAATTTTTTTTAAAAAAGAACCTTTTTTTTAGGGCTGTCAAAAGATTAATCCAAAATAAAAGTTTGTGTTTACATAATATATGTTGGTGCACTGTGTCTAATTATTTTGTTTATATATAAATACACACACATGCTTGTATATTTAAGAAAAAAATATTATTTATATGTAAAATATAAATTTTATATATTATATAAATTATAAATCTATATACAGTATATACATGAAATATTTCTTAATATATACAAGCATGTGTGTATTTATATATATATATATATATATATAAATATATATATATATATAAAATAATTATACACAGTGATAATCGGTTGATAGCCCTAATTTTTTTGTAACTTTTTGTAATTTAAGAAAAATATATTTTTTGTATATAATATTTATATTTATATATTATATAAATTATAAATCTATATACAGTATATACATGAATATATATATATTAGGGCTGTGCAAAAGTTAATTGCGATTAATCGCATCCAAAATAAAAGTCTGTGTTTACATAGTATATTTGTGTGTGCTGTATATAATTATTTTGTATATATAAATACACACACATGCATGTATATGTTTAAGAAAATGTGTTATTCCTATATAAAATATTTATATTTATATAATATAGATTATGTATTTATATATATATACAGAATTTAAGCGCAAATAATTCTTAAATATATACATGCATGCATAGGTATTTATATATACAAAATAATTATATACAGCACACTCAAATATATTATGTAAAACAGACTTTTATTTTGGATGCGATTAATCGCAATTAACTTTTGCACAGCCCTAATATATATATATATATATATATATATATAATGAAAATGAAAATATATATATATATATAATATATATATATATAATAATTATACACCGTGATAATCGGTTGATAGCCCTAATTTTTTTGTAACCGTCAAAAATATATATTCTTGTATATAAAACAAGATAATACTGAGTAAGGAATTATATATTATTTTACTGTTTCTGAACACATTGAGTGTGGCTCCATTCTCTCTGCTGTTAGTCTGTCTGTCTGTTGTGGGTATTCATTTTGGTTAAAGTGATTGGGTTATTGAGTGCAGATGTGTGCACAGACCTCGTCCTGCTCCTGCCAAGTGCATTAGCATAAGACTGTAAATAAAATAGTCATTCGATCTGCTGCTGTGACGGGGGACTCAGGGGTCCCAACGCCCGGCCTGCTTTTCTTAAATATACAAGCTGGAGTGAGGCGGGCTTGAACGCACAATCAATATAATAGTTGAGCTTTCTCTCTCTCTAAAACACTCTCTGTCTCTCTCTTTGTGTTTGTCAAGAGGTCGCAGGCAAACGGACGTGTCATGCATCCGCATCTGTAAAAATGCATGACCACAAACAGAGAGGAGATGACACTTTTATGTGAATTAGCATGGTGTGTTTTTAATGTGATGTGACATTTCTGAGCTCACACAGCTCTGTCTCACTGACACGATCATGGCGTTGTGCATTTGCATCTGTAGTGGTTAGAATCCATAGGGATGTTGAAAAGTAGGTCATGATGCTATTTATTTATTTAATACTTGTCATAATATATTTCACCTCCCATGTGACATTGATTACATCATTAGAAAAAAAAGAAGGGAGAAGCTTTGGATGAAACATCATGAAATCTAACATTTTCTTTCTTTAAAATAATGTCATTTTAATAAATGTAAATAAATTAATGACTTGTTTATATAAGCCATTACAATATATTCACAATCTTAGCAAGGATAGTGGCTTTGAACACTAGAAGCTGGATAAAGCCGAATCCTGATTGGCTGAGACCCATGTGATGAAATTTTGTTCTCCGGGAACCAATTAGATTTCAGATGCACATGAAGGCTGTTCCAAAAGTGCCTTCTAAGATACACTATTGGTCAAAATACACAAAAATAGCCCACACGTGGAGCCATCTTTCAGAGGAAACAGCCCATGTTTTTCGTAATGTTTAGATGGACAAAAACCTGTGATGAGAGCGTTCTGTCACAAGGCCAAATTCACTCTTCTCTGTCATAAACGGTGTTTATCCCCCGCCTGCCGCCCACTCCGAAGCAGAAAATAGAGGGATGTGTCTAAAAAAACTGAAATGCTTTTAACGCCCCAAACAAAAGAGCTTTCTCGGCTTACGGGTCTCCAAATCTGAGCTCTAACGCGCCACCATTTAGAGAGATCTTTTGTTCCCTGATTTGAGGTCTCATTCTTTGGACGTCTGATGAGCTGAAAAAAAAATAAAAACCTGTCTCTTGTTTGAATGCAGCTTATGCGGAGAACATGCGGTGAGCTCTTCATTACAGGGTGGGCATCACTATTACGGTTTCTCATACTAGGGGTTAGGGATTTGAACAAACTATACGAGTTTCATTTGATGGGCTGGGTATCGTTCAAAAATTTGGGATACGGATACCTTGACTTCGATACCGATTCATGAACGATACCTTTTTCGATACCAAATTTATGAAATTCATTTTAAGAAGATTATTATTATTAATATTACCTAAAAAAAACCTTTTGTTTTTAGACTCTATCTTGCACCTGAAAATGACTTTGTACACTGACGCATGTATCATTCCTGTTTTGCACCCGCGCAAAGTGGACTTTTCCCTCCACAGACGCACGTCGGTAAACTAGGGAATGAACTTGCGCTCCCGGGGCGGTTCGGCGCGAAAAGGAGGCGTGTTTCGGCACTAACAATCCCTGGTGCTATTTTGCAGCTCCAGAAAACAATTGCGCCACTGACCAGAAAAACACCTAGTGTAAAGTCAGTTGCGCGTACATTCAGATGCTATTTTAAGCGCGCATGCTTGGCCATAATACAGAGTGTGAACAACGCGCATACACTGTAGATGATTCTCTCATCTACACAGATGCATTTTACTTTTTGTAAACGATACATTATTATAAGGAAAAATATTAAAACACGAGGGAAATCATTGTTGTGTCCATGGCGATGGTGAAAATAGGCATAAAGCTGACACATTTACCCAAATTATCATTTACATGTTTAACCGAAGCTAATTTGGGTGTGTTTGTCCCGTCCCCAACGTCACTTCTCTTTCTTTTACGGCCCTGACGAGAACATCGATCTCCTCGGCTGTGAACCGATGCTGAAGCGCGTCTGGTAAATGCGCCGTTATAATAGTATTGCGCCACGGAACAAGCGCACCTCGTTCATCACGCTCTTAAAGGGAATGTGATATGACGCTCTTATTGGTTTGTTTCCGTTATGCCCAAACCACACCTATGAATAATGAAGCTACTTCAGACCAACCCCTTTTAAACTCATTTTAAAGTCATTTATCCCGCCGGTTAAATAGCAATAGCGCCAAGACCCGCCCACAAAGTTACTTGCGCTTTGTGCTTGACTCTTGCGTTTCAGATCGTTAAAATGGGGGCCCAAAGACCCATTTAGGCCACTAGGGGGCGGAATATATGCCTCGCACTCAAGCGTACTTATAAAAAGTAGCCAGTGTACAGTAGTAGCAAGACATTATAAAGTTAATGATTGTATGTGTTTGGGGAAAAAAAAGCAAGGCCACGTTTTAATTGTTTATTAATAAACTAGTGTTTTCTGAGTTAGTGTTGGCTGCAATGATGAAGTTGGCGTTGCGGACTTGTCATCTTCGCAGTATAGACCTTATTCAGAGTAGCGCCATGACAGGTATGAAAGTGAGGCTGTGAGGGATAGACTTACCGTGTTTCCAATGGCATCCGCTGTAAAAAGCTGCTAGATTACTTACAATTTTCCACAGCCTACATTGTCGGGAGTTTTTTGTCAACTGTAATTTCTTGGAAAGATATTTTTCCAGTGTTTCATGACCAGAACAATCCGAAAACACATTAAATAACAGTACAGGCCATTGAAGAGATGCATGTCTATCCCTCACAGCCTCGCTTTCATTCTCATTAAAAATCAAAGATGGCGCTGCCGTGAGAATGTGCGCACATGCCTATATAGAGACAATTATCTTGTTGCAAATATTGCGTTGCACGTTTTTGGCATTGAGTCTGGTGAAATATAGCCACACTTTTGATATTTTCCACATCTTTTCCATCTATGTGGGTTGGGACGCTTCACGTGGGCGTAACCGGCTAGTGTTTTTTAAGCAGAAAAGAAAATACTTTGAATGTCGGCTTGACAAAGTTAAAAAAAGTAGCTTTGAAGTTTGGATGTCTAAAAGCACATGGATGGATGAATGGATGACCAATATAAATCAAATTTACACTCATGAAGTGAAAGGGATCTAATCCTGATGCAAATGCTTCTAATTATAGCTCAAATGAAAAAGGCTGGGTATCGAGTTTGA